GGTTGATTGTTGCGGTACCTGTTTGGTTGCCAATGTTCTTTATAGTTATTTTTACTGCGGTGGTAATTGGTGTTGTGGTTTCGTGGTAGACACCATTTTTGTGCGTCATCTCTCACCGCTCCTATCCCTCACCGCTCCTATCCCTCTAATTGGAGTGAGTGCTCCTGCTCAATATTGAAAACCGAGATGTCAGGGCTCTTAGCGCGGCTCACTTTTGATGCCTCAAAGCTGTGCTTGCAAGCTCTCTGAGTTCTGGAATGGCAAACCAACGTGGGCTGAGGGCCCAAGTAGTTAATGAAGTTGGGATATGTGTTGGACAGAAACATTTGTTTGAATGGTAATAGCTCTTCCATTCCTGTTTCAGTGAGTTGGCCAAAGTAAGCTGAACGAAGCCTATGATAGTATGCTTGTGGGTGTTCATTCCGAGCTTGTTTGACGTCGTGTTTGAGAGTCTCAGAACCACTGAATTCTATTTTCAAAGCCGTGGCAAGTTTCGCATAGTCGTTTTGCACGTGTTGCTGTTGTAGACGAATAAACCATGTAATTTGTCTATTCAATGTTCTCTTCAACAGGTAAATTGCCTGTCAGTGCCCGTAGCATTCAGTTAGCCATCCAAGGCGTCCTCTATGTCTGCTACGAATGTCTCAGTGCCGTTTAGCTTCCCTGGCACTGGGTCAAAGGTGCGGAAGTTGTTGATGATTTTGTCAAGGCGTTGCGCGCCAAGTGCACGGAGAGGGTTTGCTTCATCATGTGGGGAATTTGGGCCGAAAGGCCAAGAGGAGAAGCCAAGCTTTGCCTTTGTCGGCACGGAGGTGCCATATTACTCTGTGCTGAATGGCCAAGAGGAAAAGACTGAGGGACACCTGAGAGAGGTAAGGTCTGAAACCTTCTGTTGTCTTCACTCCTTTGTGTACCGAGCTCCGGTTGCGAGCTTGGTTGCTTGGTTGGGTAGTAACGCTGTAGCGCGTGACTGTTCTGGAGTTCCTCCAGGTGGTACCTAAGGGTGGTATTCTGCTGCATAGCAGAGTCCACTAGGGCGCTTCGAGTACTTATTTTAGACACGTGAGTGTTGCACTTGCTCCGTTCGGCCTCATACTTATCTGTCATGGTTTGCAGGGAGAGGTCTTGAGTGCGGAGCGAGAGATTCAGTGATGAGATTTCCTCCGCTTGCTTAGAGATCACTTTGTCCATATTCCTCACCTAAGTTCTCTAATGATTCATTTGGTCAGTGACTTCAATGAGTTCCACTGTTTTGTCATCCAACTTGGTCATTATGTTCATTAACTGATTGTCTTTGGTCTGCAGCTTTTGGACTAGAACATTATTGCTTTGAGTGGTGTCATTCAAAACTGCTTGCAGGGTATCAAGTTGTGCGCCCTTGTTTTTAGCTAACTCATCAGATTTATCTAGTTTTGCGTGGACTTCGTCGTATTTATTTTTGGCTAAATTGAGCTGTTCCTGTAGAAGACGATTTTGTTCAAGAGTTTGTGCTCGTTCGTCGTCATATGTTTTTGCCATTACATTTAATTGTTCCGTCTCAAACGCAGGTCCTCGGCTAGCAGTATCTTTTTCTTTTCAGCTTTTGTCATTAGTTTCCGGGTTCTCTCCACCTGTCCCTTCATATCAACCGTTTCTTGCTCGTGCTTCTGCTGGGCACTGCAGTAATGTCAATCTCTGCTGGTGGCCATAGTTCAGGGCTAAACTGGAGAGAACCTTTACAAGGCCTGTGCCTGATGGTCTATTTTGGAGGGCGTCTGTCGCAATTTCTGCAGTTTTCTTCGCTTATGGCATTGTGATCTAAAGTTCTCAGCCCTTCAGCATAGTTTGGGTTTATATCACTGCTGAGGTCAGCGATCAATCTTTCCGTGGGGGAGGGTTCACTTATTAGCGGGGGTAAAGTTTGGGTTTTGACTCGTTGGAAGCTGCAAAAACAAATTTCATCAATTTATAGACGTTAATTAATCATTAATACTGGATCAATAATGTGGGAGTTGGACTTCAATGAACTTGCAAATGTAATTGATTCAGCAATGTTATTGATTAATCATACATGTATAGGCTATCTGGGAATTAAACTTTTATTAACCTGAAAGCGTCGCTGTATCTAGGTTAAGATTGACAAGTTTAAAATGTCTCATTGGTTGGAACAAATTAATTTGATCCTTAGCTGAATGATCAACCTGGTAAAAAGGTCTGTTTGGCAATTTAACATCCTTGTTAAATAGAATGAGACAACGATATCCAATCAGTTGAGATTGGTTGGATATTATAAAGTGTAACCAGATGTTACAGATGTGAGAAGACGTTTTGCCCTCACATTGGAATCTTTTATTTCCCCCCAAATAAATTGGCTGATTCTTCACCACAAGGGGTCACTGACCCTGAAAACTGAAATCACACGGGATTCCAGCAAAGGCGGGACTTCCGTCGCCTAAAGCGCGGGATTTCCTCTGTAAACAAAGAAAAATGGCTTCTCTCTGTTTGTTAGCTTAGCTTCTAATGCAAAGCTAGCCGTTCTTGTACAAGAATGTTCACTTCAAGCACAAAAAGATCCCCTTCAATTCGGGAACGGGGGTTTACAAACGACGTCTCACGTTCAACCCAATCAGCATTTCTTGCTAGCAATGTTACCGGAACACGCGGTAACATAAAGAAATACTGGACGTGTCTACTCACACCCCTGAAGTGCGAGAGACAGAGAGACTTTGCTTCGGCCAAACAAATATATCTTCTGAAATTTCCTTAATCGGCTGGCCCTTATGTCCTAGCTCTGGAAAATGTATAATTCACCCTACACACTCTGACCCTTTCTCAGATATACAACACTGGAGACAATCTCTCCCTGGAAAGGAAACACACACCACTCAACGACAATCCTGCCTACTGCTCTTTGGGGTATAATTTGCTACGCAATTCCTGTAGACTGAATTCAACAGTAAGTCCTAATTTTGTCTTAGATTCCTCACAGGGGGCACCAATATGTCGTGACTTGACTTTAACATTAATCTGAAGACTGTTATTTATCTAATTAACTAACTATGTTTAATTGTTACCCGATTAACTCATTAGGATCTGGGGCACCACGAGAGCAGTTCTTTAAAGAGTTACAATCTTCAGAATAAAACTCTAAAAGGTCTTTACCTATCACATCTATAAACAATTAACTTATGAATCACAACCTCGCATCATATCATCATTCTGAACAGTCATAACCTCCTTGCATCTGCAAAAACCTGAGCCTTACTTATGATTCAGTACTACACAAATTGGTTGAATTATTTATTCACTAGCTAATTAAATGGGAACAAAGGATAAACACACACACTCTGCACCGGTTATTGACTTAATACACTGAAAACAGGTCCCTAGCGGAATGACAACAACATGGATGCTTGTTAAAGAAGAGATGGAAAGGGAGAGAGAGGGACAGAGACACTTAACATTGCCACATTCAGGAACAACTCTCATCTACAGTAACCATATACTTTGCAAACAAACTGCCGCCGGCTTTGAGCAAGAAATCATGAATGTATTTAAGTGAAATGCCTGGGTTCGCCAGGGATCTCTCGGTGAACGGGGCAGCCTTGGAAAGGGGGTTGGGCCCTTTTGCGGCACGCTTGTAAGACTCTGATTGTCCGAAATGGTTCCAACAACTATTCTCCTGTTGTCCTTCTTCGTAGTTGTCCGATATCTGGTGACTTGTCATGTAGTCCTGAACAGAACTACAGAGTTGATTTTCCTTCCATTCGCTCTTGAAGATGCTTCTTTGAAGATAGGCTAGCCAGCCGTATCAATGGTTCCCCAGTGGGGTGATGAGAGTAGCGTAATACGATGGTTTGAGCAGAGTAACAGGATAGTCCTACTTAAATTTGCATTCGTAGATGCTTTACTTAGGACAGACAGCTAATCAGCGGTACCAGTGATTGTCCGGGAGGTGAGTTTATCGTCTCCACCTCGTGTTGAGATTCAAAGTTCAAACCATTTTAAAAGCGCAGCTGCAGCTTCACGCTTTCCTGGTCTATTGTGTTAATTCGTAACCCATAATTTATACCTTTTGCTCGAAAGGGGCGGTTCCGGCAGGCTATCACGCTCCCTGACCTCACTTCGGGGTGGTGATTACTCACTGTGCAAGTTATGGAAAACAATTATCTCTTATAACTTCTCAAATCACATCCCTCTCTTAACAAAAACACTTTCATAATTTTTCATATTACATACACAACCCATAGTATGGAAACTTAATCTAAGTAATGGGTATACTTTCCAAGTTACAGTATTTCCTTTATAACATTTTTAATGACATCACAAAATAACAAACTAAATGACATTAGTGTTCTATAGATCGCCTCTGACCATTCCCCACGTTCTACGTTAGAAATATTGTTCCAGTATTCGCTTTTGAACTGGTTAGAGTTTCAGGGGGGAAGTGTCTGTTGAGACAAAGCACAGGCCTAGATCATCTTCCTTGATTTACAACATGACGTGAGTTGTTAATCCCCACTAGTTCTTTCCTTCCCCCTCTACGGGTGAGAGGGAGTCTGATTGAAGTTATTCATTGCAAACCTGATCTGACCTATTTGGATTCTCGTGGTCAGTCATGACAGCTATTTTTCAATCAACAGAATATATTCCAACCATCTTTTTACAGACTCACTTGTACTTTCCGAAGAGCCCCATGTTGAGGTCAACTGCTGTGCCGTCTATCTACTGTAAACTGCTGGTATCACCCAGTGGATGGTCTTGGTAATAAATACCGTAATTTCTATTATTACTATTATAATTATTTGCAAGTGTCTTATTAATTGGCTCCAAAAGAGGTGTGTTAAACAGTCTCAACTGTATCTCCCCTCTTCTTGTTTGTATGGTAATATTTACCGACATCCAACAGTACATTCCAAATAAATAGGAAGTAGTCATTGAGCCGAGCAGGATGTTCAATGATGTAAGGTACATTTTCAGAGTTACTATGAAATGTAATAAGGAAGGAAGCAAAGCAACAATTTGTGGATAAAATACTTTATTCCAAGGCTCCAGTACAAACATTACACAGAGTTAGGTGTTACAGACCAAGGAATAATGTTACATGTTATGTAAAAACATGACGATGGGAATCATTTTACCTTAAAAAAAAAAGCTGTAAAAGGGAGAGGGAATGGAGGCAGGACTTTAATTGAATCTTCTCTCTGAAGCAAGAGTCCAAAGAAAGGTTTGCGTTTCTTTTTTCCGAATCGAGGTACCGAACGAGTGGTGTCGCAGAGGGTCAAGTAGAGACGGCTTCTTAGGAGGTGCCAGAAATGACATGGCACTCCCCATGGTGGGGGAGGGGAGTGGAGGAGACGGGAAGGTGGGGGGAGGGTTAGGAGAGGGATGCTGATGAGTGTCCATGCTTAATAAGCGTGGTTGGCCACGAACAGTGATTCTCCAGCAGCGGCGCTGTCTCCGGAAGAAACATACTTGCCTTGGCAGGCCAGGCTGTTGGCCTGTGGAAGGAAAGAAACGCAATATAAGAACAATATAAACTTGTTTTCTGCTGATATTTTCTAAGTGCGGAATATACTGTGGCTTCCTATACATCCATACTATAAATATCCCACTGGGCACACACTGGTTGAATCAATGTTGTTTCCACGTCATTTCAATTACGTTGAACCAACATGAAATAGACATTGATTTGACGTCTGTGCCCAGTGGGATGTGGCTTCTATACAGCCATTAATAATCACATATGAAATATAAGCAAAATATATGACAATCACATATGTAATATATGTGAAATATATGAAAATAAATTGAAAAAATATATTTGGTTATTTGTACCAGAGCTCTCTTGATGAACTCCTCCTGGGCAGCCTTGCCATTCGCGGGCTTGCCACCCCATGCCTTCAGGGCGGATGCCTGGAGGGCACGGCCATAGGAGAAAGTAATGGCCCATGGCCTGTGCAGGGGGCACTGGTTCATGACATTCAGGTTGATGGAGGCTTCCTCCTCAGACTGGCCACCGGACAGGAAGGTGATGCCTGTGGGTGAAGCGGGGAAGAAGAGGGGTTATTTTACTACTTTTTACTACTTTTTACTACTTTCTATTTTATCTACTTAAAGAAGATACATCAACAAATTGGTGTGTGTCTAGAACTGTATGTGAAATATATAATAAAATACTGTATGTAATAATGTAACTACACACTATGTGTAAGTGCCATAGTCATGGAGGGTGAGTTTGTGTTTGTGAAAACGTGTGATAACATTGAGTGTGAGTGGATGAAGCTGGAAGTTTAGAAATGTATAAGTGTATCGTGCTTTACTGTATATTGGGCTGTTTTCAGTGTGTTGTTGGCCGCTCACCGGGGACTGCTGGGGGCACGGTGCGGCGCAGGGCGGTGATGGTGGCCATGGCGATGTCCTGGTGGGTGTACTTGTGTGAGCAGGAGTGTCCGGCGGTGACCATGTTGGGCTTCAGGAGGGTACCCTCCAGGTAGACGTGATGGTCGGACAGAGCCTTGTACATTGCGGCCAGGACCTTCTCAGTCACGTACTGGGTGCGCTTCAGGTCATGGTCACCGTCGGGGAGGATCTCGGGCTCAACAATGGGGACAATGCCGTGCTAGAAGAGGGCAGAGGTCATGAGTACTAAAATACACTTTTAGCCAACAGAGCATGTTCTTGATCATGACAGTTAACAGTCAGAACAGTGAGACTTTAATGGTGGCTCTTCTCCCATCGTTCCTGTCTATCCCTCTACAGCTATCTTTTCAATAAAAACTAACAGAGAAAAACGGTGTTTTAAGATATTGTGATTTTCCAATGTGTGATTTGTGATATGTGTGTGTTGTTTTCCTAGGATTACTGGACACATAACAGTGAGCAGTCCTGGCTAAACTGATGTCCCTGAACTATGGTTGTGAAGAGATCAGAAGGGACTGTTATTTACTAGTCTCATGTTTAACTGAGCATTTGGAAACACATAGCTCTATTCATTGATCTTAATATCTCACTGATAGCGCTACCCACTGAGTCACCAAGTGAGCCCGGACACACACCAGAAAATCTGCTATACCTTACTCATGACAGAACATACTGTAGCGTTCATATCTTTCAAAAAACTAAAGTGTTGCCTGGTCTGGTACTACTTTATACACTTTTAATAACACTTTTAGGTATGCATTTATAATATTTGTAATAATTTCTGAAGAATTTATAAGCATTTAATACATTTATAATGGCTTATTTCATGAATGTTAATATAGTGTAACCCACACGTATACAGAGAGTCAATGATTCGAAGGTAACTTGTGGCCCATATGGGAATTGAACCCACAAACTTGCCATTGTTGACACTGTTTTGACTACTTGAGCTAATGAACTAACAAGACCACTGAGACCTTGAGAAAGGGTATTTTCTATGTGATTCTTACCATCTGGCAGATGCTGGCATAACGGGCCAGGACATTGCAATTCTCCATGATGGCCAGGCGGGAGGGGGTGGTGGAGGTGATCTTCAGCACACAACGCCACTTGGCGAAGTCGCAACCGTCCTTCTTATACTGGGCGCAACGCTCATACAGGCCATCCAAACCTGAGGGAGAAAGGGATTGAGGCAGGGACAGAAAAAAGAGATGAGTATAGGAGGGTATTATGTGAGGGTATTGTATTGTATGTGTGTATTGTATCTAGGTTGGAATACTATTCAAGCATATTGTGACTTTATAAACAAATGTGATTGATTGTATGTTGTATTGATTGATTGTATGTATTTATATTAGTTGTGAATCCCATAGATTTTCTATTCTTCCTCTTTACCCTGGGTGGTGGTCTCTCCGTTGGTTCCGGCAAGGGGGACGACACCTTTGTCAACCTTGATGCCTACAACCCAGCCTCTGGACTTGACGTGCTCGGGGAAGGTCTTGCCGGCATCGGTCTTCTGGTACAGGGTTTCGTGGAAGAAGATGACGCCACCAATGCAAGGACCGGCGCGCTCGTCGGCGGTGAAGAGGAGCTGGCGGTACAGCCTCCTGTTCTCCTCTGTGTTCTCAGCGTTGATGCTCTGGAAGCGCTTGGCAACGCTGCCTGTTGGGGGGAAAGTGAGAGAGGGAGTGAGGATTAGATTCACAGAATGAAATAGAGCATTATGCTATATCTCTGTGGTTAAACTGAATTCCGAATTTGCACAATTTAGTAGTTCAATTGTCCTTAGCCATGTGAATGAAATGAAATTAACTTGAACTGAACTATGGAATGGTGGCTTATTGGAAGTAGCATTTAAAGTTGAAATGTGGTATTGTTTTTATTTTATTAAGTTTATTTGGCAGGGACAATGCACAACAAAACATAGGCCTCAGAGCACTGAGAAATTATGTGTCGCACCATATTTAGCTAATAGCTACTTTCCATCTGTACCATGGATCATTTAGCTATTTGATTTAGAATTTTAGGACCCCTTTAGTTATAAAAACAAATATAAAAACATTATTTGATAAAGTATTGAATTTGTCCTTTACTACTGTAGCCCATAGAAACGCAATGAATAACACATTCATAAATGGCAAAAAAGACAGTCACAAAATGAATGATAAGGAATAAGGTTTTGAAGTGTCTGTCCTATATCTAGGAGATATAAGAAAGATCAGGTAATATTATTGTTTTTTTGGACACATATTTAACCCCTTATTTTTGTTGGCACAAAACTATCTCCATCTTCCATTCATTTGAATGGGTTACCTTCAGACGAGTCCCGTGACACTTGTGGGGGTTGGAGAGCAACACAGACATCACCATCATGTGCGTCAATAGACTCAATAGACTCTTAAGAAATAACAGATGATAACTTGGAAGCCATTGCTCAGCACTCCATGGGTGTGACGGTGTCGTCGGCATACATCTCCACTCCCTGGTACACAAAAGGAAGGTCATTGATGTATAGACTGAATAACAGGGACCCAAGGATGGACCCATGGGGCACTCCCATGGTGCACCTCCTTAGTGGTGACAGGACATCGTTTATCCGGACACACTGGACCCAGTCGGCTAGGTAGGACTCCATCCAGTGAAGAGCACTTTGCGAGAGGTTGAACCAGGAGAGTTTGGAGAGAAGGACATTATGCTTGACGGTGTCAAACACCTTCCGCATGTCGAGGAAGACCGCCCCTACCACGCCCCCTGTATCCAGCTTGGCCTTGATCGTCTCTAGGAGATAGAAATATGCTGTCTCTGTTGAGTGGTTCACCCTAAACCCAAACTGATTGGGTGAAGGGAGACAGTCCTTGTGTTCAGGTGTGCTGTGAGCTGTTCCAGTACAACGTTTTCAGCAACCTTAGAGATGACAGGGAGTATACTGATAGGCCTGTAGTTGCTCACTTCCTGCTGGTCTCCAGATTTATGTACATGGGTCACGATGGCAGTCTTCCATGCCTTTGGGAATGAACTTTCTTGCATTGATAAGTTGATTATCTGGGTAAATGGGGTGGCTAGGCTGTCTCTGTCATTTTTTTAAAATACAGTATCAAGACCATACACATCCTTTGCTTTAGAGTTTGAAAGTGAGGAGAGGACTTTCTTGACCTTTTCCTCACTAGTGGACTCCAAATAACAACTGGTATGGCTATCGCTGCTGGGGATCATGGATAGGACTCTTGGGTTAAACTTTTGGCCCAGCTCTTGGACTGAGTCAATAAAATAGTCATTAAAGGTGGTTGCAATGACTTAGCTGTTGTCTTGAAGCTTTCCATTGACTTTCAGTTGTAGTTCACCAGACTTGGCATGACCCTTCCCAGTGAGTTTGTTAATATTTTTCCATATGACCTTGCTGTTCCATTTTTGCCTCATTAATGATATTGAGAAATAAATTGGCTTTGGCTTTCCTGAGGCTCATTGTCACTTTGTTTCTCAGTCCTTTATAGACTAGTCGGTCAACATCTAGGACAGATTTTAGAGACTGTTTCAGAGCAGCATCTCTCTTCTTCATAAGTTGCCATAGAGTGTCATTGAACCAAGGTAGGCCTTGTTTGTTGTTGGGTTTGTGAGGCACCTGTTTAGTGAATTTGGTGAGAATCTGGCCATTAGTTTATTATAGTCGTTTTACAGATTTACTCTATTTGGTTTGCTCTATTTGGTTTGCCCAAAGCATCACTGGGAGCACACTGCCTGCCCTCCAGGACACCTACAGCACCCGATGTCACAGATCATCAAGGACATCAACCACCCTAGCCACGGCCTGTTAACCCTGCTATCATCCAGAAGGCAAGGTCAGTACAGGTGCATCAAAGCTGGGACAGAGAGACTGAAAAACAGCTTCTATTTCAAGGCCATCAGACTGTTAAATAGCCATCACTAGCCGGCTACCACCCGGTTACTCAACCCTGCACCTTAGAGGTTGCTGCCCTATGTACATAGACATGGAATCACTGGCCACTTTAATAATTGAACACTAGTCACTTTAATAATGTTTACATACTGCTTTACTCTTCTCATATATATATATATATATACTGTATTCTATTCTACTGTATTTTAGTCAATGCCACTCCGACATTGCTCGTCCTAATATTAATATATTTCTTAATTCCATTCTTTTACTTGTAGATTTTTTTGTGTATTGTTGTGAATTGTTAGAAACTACTGCACTGTTGGAGCTAGGAACACAAGCATTTCGCTACACCCGCAATAACATCTGCAAAAAAATGAATAATGTGTATGTTACCAATAAAATTTGATTTGATTTTTTATTTCATCCTCAAATTGCTCCAGGTCTTTTTTTTGAATGCAAAATGTTTATTTTTATTTTTACTTGTGGTTCTAATGGAATGTTTTGGAGAAGTTATAATAAGGTGAAAAAACAAACCCCTTGTGACAATGTTGTTGCTCTGATTATGAATATGTCTTTGCATGTGTGCCTTTTCATTCCATAGGTGTGGGTCTGTGTGTACATTGTGTGTCCAACCAGTGTTTGCTCTGCGTACCAGTAGACTCATCAGCTGCGAGGATTCCCTTGCCCTTGGCGACGATCTTGAGAGCGATGTCACTAAGCTCCTTCTTCTGGTCAGGAGTGAGGAAGGGGAATGCGTGAGGCATCTTGACTAAAGGAAGAGAAAAGGGGGGAGACACTGGTTAACATGAGGTGTTCTGAGGAGAGAGAGAGTGATTGAGATACATAAAAGTGCATACAGACACAGATAAGTGGTAGATATTTGGTCGGCGGCCCCCACACCTCGCAGCATTTGACATTTGACAAAATGTCATGCAATTCTACACATTTTGCCATGGCGTGGAGAGACATCTTTACAGTTTTAAAGCTAATTTCCTGCAATCTACACATTTTGCCATGTTAATAATAATAATTATTTAATATGATATCTGATTGAGAGTGACTGACAAAATCAATGGGAGCCCCTTGGATGTCAGGGCCCCTGGGAACGTGTCCTGCGTGCCCAGTCGATATTCGCCCATGATTACTACAAGTTTAGATAGCTGGCTAGATTAATTTACCAATAATATATATTTTTTGCTGACATGGCTAATTGAGTGACTGTCAGTGACTGACATAACAAGAAAAAAACTGCTGATGCACAAACAAATTTCGAAATTGCAACTTGTGAGACAGCTCCCCTAAATGCAGCAAAAGTCATACTTCAGGGAGGGTCTCTAAATAATGCTAATTTAACCATTCTCGTATTTGTTTCAAATGCAGTGGTAAATATGACAATAAAATATTCCAATGAAACGAACACCCCCACCTCTCTGTTTTGGTTTAAACCATTTATTTCTATGTGGCAGAACTGTCTATCCAGTAGTGTTGAATTTTGGCCTCGGCTGAGCTCCTTTACGCATAGATTTGCCATTGTACTTCCTCATTTTCGCCATTTGTTTACCATGTGTCCTTGATAAACAAAATAGCCTTTACTCCAATGCATTAGATTTATCCGTTTATTTATCATTGTTTGCTTTTGTCAGTCAGCTGTTTAGAGCGCTCATTGCTTTGTTTTTCAGGTGTATGCGGGCAGGCCTACTGGTGTTCTCCGTGCCGTCCGTGGCCAGAAGTAGTAGACCATTTAGTTAGCTTTATTATTTTCTATCAATGTTTGTTTTCTTTCCTGGATCAGCTGATGATGGTCGACAATATCACTAGACAACTAACCTACAGCTAGACACCAATGCACATCCAATCCATCCAACAAGTATACCTTAATGTCAGTAGGCCTATAGTTTACTTTTTTGTTTGGAGGCACTTGATTTTGCAATTTCGTAGGCCTACATTATTTTGGATTTTTGTGCCCATGAGAACTGTTTTCACGGCGAAACATAATAAAATGTTACATAGGCATAGTTACATTTACAGTGCATTTTCCAAGATTTCCTAGATCCATGATTTGTACAGGGTTTAAGTTCAATGTTCAAATTCAATTGTTAAATGCTTAATAATTACAAATAACACTGTCATAAATGTCATTAATGTAAGGAAAGAAAGGTAAGGTTTTATATTACACGATCTGTGAAAACTCCAAGCATTAATTCATGAATTATGGACAACTCATGAACTAGGGTGCAAAACATGTTTTGATTCAACTCATGTATTATATTGAATATAGGCTAGATATTCTGCATGTGTTCATGTGTTTAAAATTGCCTCGGCTGAGAGGGTAGGCTACTGGCAGTGATATAGGCCTAGTGGATAGAAATGCCATGAATAGAGCTGATGTGAGTTCTTATTCTACAGTATGAAACATTTATGCACTCACTAACTGGAAGTCGCTCTGGATAAGAGCGTCTGCTAAATGACTAAAATGTAAATGTAAATGTTACCCACCTTTCTAAAAAAATGCATTGAAAGTATAGGGAGCATTACAATTTTTCACCACGAATGGAAATCAGACTTTACCCACCTATTTTTTTTTTTAACACTAGGCCTACACCCACTATTGGTAGGCCAATTTGAAAGTTCATGGTAATACACATTGTAGCCTAGTCTAGTAAGTTGACCCTGTGTGTTAGGGTGACCATCCAGTTTTTCCCGGGACAGTTTCAGTCCTGTTTTTCCCGGGACAGTTTCATCCCCATTTCAGGCTACTAAAAGGTCAATTTGTCAGCAGGATGCATCAATGAATGTAGGCCTACTCAATGGCAATCACTGAATGTCATTAGGCACAGTTTTTGGTGTTTCGTAACAGATGGCTATTTCCATTCATCAAATGTCACGAGTAGGCCTATACATGCAGTTTGGATGCTGGAATTATTTTGGAGTGGACCAAACATGCACAGGTAGCCTACTTTTTTAAGTGATTTGTTTGACAATCAGATGTTACAAAACACCAGAAACTGTGCCTAATGACATTCAGTGATTGCCATTGAGTAGGCCTACATTCATTGATGCATCTTCCATAGCCTGAAGACCATGTGCCCCCGTACATTGACTCTGTACCGGTACCCACTGTATATAGCCTCCCTACTGTTATTTTATTTTACTGCTGCTCTTTAATTATCTATTTTTTTTGTATTTTTACTTATCTATTTCTTTACTTAACACTTATTTTTCTTAAAACTGCGTTGTTGGTTAAGGACTTGTAAGTAAGCATTTCACTGTTGTATTCGGCACATGTGGCAAATACATTTTGATTTGATTTGATGCCTTTGTACAGAGATGGAAACTCACCAAATACCAAAAAGGTGGACTGCAAGGCTATGTTAAGTTAAATAAATAAATGACTATAGTAATTGACTAGGTGCCAAATAAAGTAACAGGGTTGAAGTTTTAATCTTAAATCATCGAAAAAAATCTGCCAATTTCTATTTTTTTAAAAATCCGTAAACATTTCTGTGAAACTGTCTACGTTTTACTTGTGGATTTTGAAGAAAAAAAATCTAAGCTCAAGATGTGCGAATTTGTGTGTCTATACGCCATTTTAAAACCAATACATATTTTTGAGTAAACCTATTTTGGGTTAAGACAAGCAACTATGATTAAGGGCAAACATCATGCTAAGCTTGAAAGCTGAGTTTGAATAAGACATCCGATTAACATTTTGCATTTATAACGGTTGGTTTTACTATATCTAATAAATAACCAAGCCATTGATGGATCAATAGATAAAATAAATGCATGTCTCTCGTCTGCCCCTGCAAGCCAGTCGGCATATGTGTCATCACACTCCCTCATCTGATTGGTCGAGTAGGCGTGCCTTCTGATTTTGTGGCTGTGGTAACTAGTGAAGACCGTCCATTTGGGTGATTGTCTGTGTGTCTTTTCGAATGTTCCTCTTTTTGTCAGTGTGTCTGTCTATCTTCCTTTTTTGTAATATGTAAGCTTAACATGCCCATATTCTGTCTGTCTGTTTGAGAGAGCAATATGACTGTCGTTGTCTGTCTGTAGGTCTGTTTGAGTGTTTTATGTAGCTGTGGTTGTCTGTCTGTCTGTCCATTTGAGAGTGCTGTGTGACTGTCGTTGTTAAGCTCTGGTATCTATTGCAGCAGGTGTCCCCACAGCCATGACAGGCATGTGAATGACCTTTTAGATTTTCTAGTCTCTCTTAACCCTGACCTTTCCCTTGGATGATCCACCTCCTCTCCCCTCCCCTCCACCACTCACACTTTACCTCCTTTATCCAACCCCTGTCTTGTTACAGAACAACTCAATCAAAAAGGTCAAACTAAATATAAACATTGAAACATATGTAAGTGGTTATGTAAAAAGTACTGTGTGTGCATGTGTGCAGCCCCGTTCAGTTGCTAACTCAGTGTGGTGGTGTCAGAACTAAGACCAATAAACTTTTATTTTATTTGATAGAGCTGTATAGAGAATTCATTCTGTGGAGTATTTGTAGTACAGTACAGTTAATAAGTACACTATAGGCTGAGTTAAAAGTGTACAGCGTGAGTAAAAGCTATAAGTGGGTCAAGTTGTCTCCACTTTTTTGGTCTAAGGAGGCTAGCGTAAAGCAATTAAGCAATGATACCTAATGTAGCAAAGCAACATTATGGTATGCTCACTTGAGTGAGCATTTAAGAGATGAATCTTGTATGAATGTTTTGAGGATAGAGATGTGTCTAATGCATGCGTAATAATTTTATTAGCATTGATGCACCATTGATTGTATTATAACAACAACGCTTCTGAAAATTCTACTCTGGCATTTGCACTTGCAGTCTAATAGAAGTTTTGTAATGCCAGCAGACGATGTTTGCAGTGCTCTTTCAATTCTATATCACACTCATACTGCATAAGCAATATATTAAAATATAATGTACAATCACCCAGAGCCTCAATAACATTTGCTATCCTAGATAAAAATAAAAAAATACATAATTTTGTCTTATTAAGATATGATTAGATTCGTTTACCTTGGAGGGTTGTAGGAGAGCTGGGAGAAGAGAGGGGAGAAGATCCAACTGAAGTTTGCGACAACCTCCTGGCTTGCCTGGGCCACTATTTATCCTCCCATTGTGACCTCTCACATTTCAGCCGCCTGGCTAAAATAAGAACAGCTCGCAACCGGAGAAGGGCGATGACTTTTAAAAAAACATGTTGGAGTAACGCAGCTAAGCGTCCCATGTTATCGGGGGAAAGGACAAAGAGTAATTCGATGGGTGGCATGAGATCGTGAGCGGGAGAGAAGGATGGGGAGGAGAACAGATAAGAGTGGGTGCACATAGTCATAGAAAATAAAATGATACATGCCATTTAGAAGACACTTTAATACAAAGCAACTTACAGTAGTGCGTGCACACATTTCAATATGGTTCATCCCAGTGGGACTCAAACCCATGATCATTAAGTTGCAAGAGCCATGTAGGAGTAAAAAGAGGGGAATACGAAGCAAAATCTATGGAAGAGAGGGGAAAAGAGCTGAGATGCTCGATAACACTTCGGTAACACTAAGCTGACAGTTCAATTGTGTTAATACTTGTAATATGCATGTATGCGTCTCCATGTCTTATTATAAGTCTATATAACATAAATAATTATATTTTATGTCTGTCTATGTAACACATTTTCAACTGAGATGGTTATAAAACATTATAAAGGGCTCATACGTGCTTTTGACAAGTTGTACAATGTGTTAAAACCACAACGTAATGCATTATACCTGTTGACTTTGAGTAAAGTGTTGCCAAGGTTTCTTTTCTGCATCTTTTCGAAAGATGGAAACCACATGTAGGAATTATCCTGCCACAGTTTGAATCGGGATTCATTCTACTTTGGTACTGTCTATTCAAATGTGATTCCTTTTCAGCATGATATCATTGATAAGCATAAATCTGGTACGATTTTGCAAAACGATAGGCCTCACAGACATGATGCCTAAATGAATACATTGCATTCAATAGGGGGAAGATTAGTGTCACAATATTGATGCATGCAGATAGGTATCAGAGACATAAAACCTATGTGAATACATTACATTCAGTGGGGGGAAGATTAGTGTCACAATATTGATACCTAGAGATAGTCATCAGAGACATGACTCCTACGTTAATACACTGCTCAAAAAAATAAAGGGAACACTTAAACAACACAATGTAACTCCAAGTCAATCACACTTCTGTGAAATCAAACTGTCCACTTAGGAAGCAACACTGATTGACAATAAATTGCGCATGCTGTTCTGCAAATGGAATAGACAACAGGTGGAAATTATAGGCAATTAGCAAGACACCCCCAATAAAGGACTGGTTTTGCAGGTGGTGACCACAGACCACTTCTCAGTTCCTATGCTTCCTGGCTGATGTTTTGGTCACTTTTGAATGCTTGCGGTGCTTTCACTCTAGTGGTAGCATGAGACAGAGTCTACAACCCACACAAGTGGCTCAGGTAGTGCAGCTCATCCAGGATGGCACATCAATGCGAGCTGTGGCAAGAAGGTTTGCTGTGTCTGTCAGCGTAGTGTCCAGAGCATGGAGGCGCTACCAGGAGACAGGCCAGTACATCAGGAGACGTGGAGGGCAACAACCCAGCAGCAGGACTGCTACCTCCGCCTTTGTGCAAGGAGGAGCAGGAGGAGCACTGCCAGGGCCCTGCAAAATGACCTCCAGCAGGCCACAAATGTGCATGTGTCTGCTCAAACGGTCAGAAACAGACTCCATGAGGGTGGTATGAGGGCCCGACGTCCACAGGTGGGGGTTGTGCTTACAGCCCAACACCATGCAGGACGTTTGGCATTTGCCAGAGAACACCAAGATTGGCAAATTCGCCACTGGCGCCCTGTGCTCTTCACAGATGAAAGCAGGTTCACACTGAGCACATGTGACAGACGTGACAGTCTGGAGACGCCGTGTAGAACGTTCTGCTGCCTGCAACATCCTCCAGCATGACCGGTTTGGCGGTGGGTCAGTCATGGTGTGGGGTGACATTTCTTTGGGGGGCCTCACAGCCCTCCATGTGCTCGCCAGAGGTAGCCTGACTGCCATTAGGTACCGAGATGAGATCCTCAGACCCCTTGTGAGACCATATGCTGGTGCGGTTGGCCCTGGGTTCCTCCTAATGCAAGACAATGCTAGACCTCATGTGGCTGGAGTGTGTCAGCAGTTCCTGCAAGAGGAAGGCATTGATGCTATGGACTGGCCCGCCCGTTCCCCAGACCTGAATCCAATTGAGCACATCTGGGACATCATGTCTCTCTCCATCCACCAACAGACTGTCCAGGAGTTGGCGGATGCTTTAGTCCAGGTCTGGGAGGAGATCCCTCAGGAGACCACCCGCCACCTCATCAGGAGCATGCCCAGGCGTTGTAGGGAGGTCATACAGGCACGTGGAGGCCACACACACTACTGAGCCTCATTTTGACTTGTTTTAAGGACATTACATCAAAGTTGGATCAGCCTGTAGTGTGGTTTTCCACTTTAATTATGAGGGTGACTCCAAATCCAGACCTCCATGGGTTGATAAATTTGATTTCCATTGATAATTTTTGTGTGATTTTGTTGTCAGCACATTCAACTATGTAAAGAAAAAAGTATTTAATAAGATTATTTCATTCATTCAGATCTAGGATGTGTTATTTTAGTGTTCCCTTTATTTTTTTGAGCAGTGTACATTGCATTCAATGAGATTGACATATAGATATGCTTCAAGTAGTTTACACATAGGTCAATTGCATTCATGTCTATCGGTTTTCTCTCTCAATTCAATTCAATTCAATTCAATTCAAGGGGCTTTATTGGCATGGGAAGCATATGTTTACATTGCCAAAGCAAGTGAAATAGATAATAAACAAAAGTGAAATAAACAATAAAAAATTAACAGTAAACATTACACAAAAGTTCCAAAAGAATAAAGACATTTCAAATTATGTCTATATACAGTGTTGTAACGATGTGCAATAGTTAAACTACAAAAGGGAAAATAAATATATATGGGTTGTATTTACAATGGGGTTTGTTCTTCACTGGTTGCCCTTTTCTTGTGGCAACAGGTCACACATATTTCTGCTGTGATTGCACACTGTGGTATTTCACCCAATAGATATGGGAGTTAATCAAAAATGGATTTGTTTTAAAATTCTTTGTGGGTCTGTGTAATCTGAGGGAAATATTTGTCTCTAATATGGTCATACATTTGGCAGGAGGTTAGGAAGTGCAGCTCAGTTTCCACCTCATTTTGTGGGCAGTGTGCACATAGCCTGTCTTCTCTTGAGAGCCAGGTCTGCCTACGGCGGCCTTTCTCAATAGCAAGGCTATGCTCACTGAGTCTGTACATAGTCAAAGCTTTCCTTAATTTTGGGTCAGTCACAGTGGTCAGAGAGAGAGAGACAACTATGTCTCTCTCTCACTCTCTCTCTCAATTCAATTCAAAGGAGCTTTATTGGCATGGAAACATATGTCAACATTGCCAAAGGAAGTGGTCCTCTCCAAACACTACCGCTGCACCATCAAGAGCGTCCTGACCAGTTGCATCACGGCCTGGAACGGGAATTGCTCCGTCCATGGCTGCAAGGTCCTCCAGTGGGTGGTGAAGATGGCCCAGTACATCACTGGGACGTGCTCCCACCCATCTAGGATATCTACTTGAAATGGTGCCTGAGGAAGGCCTGCATCATCATCAAGGATCCCCACACATCCCAGCCACGGGCGTTTCTCTCCTTTAACGTCGGGCAGACGGTATCAGAGCATGAGGTCTGATACCAACAGGCTCAGAGACAGTTTCTATCTACAAACCATCAGACTGCTGAACACTTGAACTGGACTGACCACCTGCTCTAATTCTCTGCACCTGAACACACATGCACTCACTCATGCAGATACCCACACAGACACACACACACATACATTCATGCTACACACACATCACAACTGCTGCTACCAGACTCTTACTGCTCAATTTATACACTTGCCCCATCCCCCTCTTTCCCAATACACATGTAAATATTGAACTATAAAGTGTGACTTCCTGTATGATACTTATGCTAAAATGTTGATTTTATTCTACTGCCATTTACTTCATGTTTGTAATTTTTTTCTTCTTCTTATTTCTTATTGTTGTTGCATTGTTGAGAAGGAACCTTCAAGTAAGCATTGAGTTGGACGATGTATACCATGCGTATCTCGTACACACGACTAATAAAACTTGAAACTTGAAACTAACAGATATGGGAGCTTGTCAATATTTGATTTGTTTTCAAATTATTTTTGGCTCTTTGTAATTTGAGGGAAACACTGTATAATTACATTTCAAATTCACATTTCACATTTCTCTTATATGGTCGTACAGGTTAGGAAGTGCAGCTCAGTTTCCACCTAATTCTGTCGGCAGTGGGCACATTGCCTGTGTTCTCTCGATAGCGAGGCTATGCTCACTGAGTCTGTACATTGTACATTTTTTCCTCTGTTTTCTATCAGTCACTGTGGTCAGATATTCTGCCACCATATCCTGTCTGTTTAGGGCCAAATAGCATTTAAGTTTACTGTTAGATTTTGTCATGTTTTCCCAAGTTCTGTCCGGAGGCTTTGTTGGGTTGGCAGTGGTTTGTGAACTTAACCCCAGGACTAGCTGGATGAGGGGACTTTTTTCTATATTCATTTCTTGGCATTTCAGGGCTTTGTAGTAGTAGGAATGGGGGTCGCTTGTTTATAGGTGGAATTTGATGGCTAATTTTTTAAAATATTAATTAGTAACGGATATTGACCTAATTCTGCCCTGCATGCAATATTTGGGGCTTTGATCTATACTCTAAAAAGGATTTTGCAGGATTCTGCATGCAGGATTTCAATTTGATGTTTGTCACATTTTTTTAAATCTTGATTGGACCCTACACTTCACTTCCACATAGGGCAATTGGTTCCATTTTAGATTTGAATATTTTTAAGCAGGTTCTAATTGGTATGCCAATTTGAATGTAGTATTCAAATATCGTAAAAAGCCCTTTCTCTTTAAGTTCATTAACATCCAAGAAGAAATTACCCATAGAGCTTATTTTTATGCCAAGATATGAATAGACTTTAGTGTGTTCTATGTCATTTGTTCCTACTATGAAATT